ACACGATACTGGCTAGGGGTTGTTGGTGGTGCAGTAGGTATTTATATGGCTGCCGGTCTAGCCAGACCTTTGTTCACGATTATCTTAGCGAGAAGGGGAGGATGAATGAGAGGGAGAGACAGAGAATCAGATCTGAGAGAAAGTGAGACAGAGAGATAGGGGGCTCCCAGGAGAGACTGGATTACGATCCCTCTCGGTCCTGTTTAAAGCAGAGCAGACAATCCCTCCCCCCGGCCTCCCTAGCTCCTCTTTACGACTGCTTATCTGCGGAATTTCACGAGCCGACACCACCTTTGGCTCTTTATGGTTCCCATTGCGGTGCAATTTCGTTTATGTAGTCTGTCTCGTAGCTTTCTCTCTCTCTCTCTCTCTCTCTCTCTCTCTCTCTCTCTCTCTCTCTCTCTCGCTCCTCCTACCTCCCCGTCTCTAAAGTCATTAGATTCCGAGCATTGAACTCGTTAGACAGAATATTTTCTGTGTTTTGGATTCTTCTGCGGTTCCGAAACACGTCCTCCCTCAGTGACAGGGTGCCAGGGTACCAGGGTATACACTGTCTACCGTTAAGCTTGGGATCTCTTAGTGATCTATGTATATACCTATATAGAGGACCGAGCGAGGCACAGCCCAGCCACGCAGCCAGTCAACCAGTCAAGCAGCCAACCTCAATCAAGTCCTGTGTGTACACTAAGGGAAACAATTTGCTGACGGAGTGTGTGCCGGCGTGTCTACACGCCTCGAATGATGGGGACGGCGAGGAAGTTCGCTTCGAGTTATGAATGTGAATTTCTTCGTGAGTAAGGGACTGATTACGGCACCGGAGGAGAAGACTGGGATCGCGGGAAGAGAGGATGGAAGATGAGAGGAGACGGGCGCTAGCTGGCGCACGACTTCTCTCGCGTGCTCCGAATACATCAGTTGGACCTAGGCGTGTCTCGAATCGAATTGTCACAGTCAATATCTCGTCTTGCCTTATCTTTTTATTTTTCTCTTACGTCTCTTCCCTGCAATCTCATTCGACCTGACTTCGATTTGACCTCTCCCACCTTTATTCGTCGGTCTTCTCTTCTCCTGCCATACGCTCACTGGGAATGCCTTGGCGACTCGGTCATAAATATCCATAAGGGTAAACGGAATGACGAACCTTGATAAGTTGAGGCACCCCTTTTATTCTGATTTCTTTTACTGAATAAATACCTAACTCTCGCTCATTTGGTTTACCAAAGTTATACCCAGTGTATCATAATATCTGGGATCGTTTATGCCTAGAAATTCATAAAGCAATACGTTGCATGTAGGTGTTGATAGGGAAGATGTTTCAGGTGAGAATTTGTTTCGGCTCTCATTCCTTCCGGGAGTTATGCCAGGCGTGGTAAATCCTTAGGGAATCCTCAAAGGATTTAAGAAACAGGCACGTCTTTCCCTACTGCGAAACGTATAGATATATACTGACTGTACGAGACAGCTTGAGAGATTCAGGGTGGCTGTCGTTCGGCCTCCAGGAAAATGAATTCAGCTTGATCGTCCCACTAGGAGGGGAACTGTTCGGGCTTCGATGGATCGACTTTATCAAGCAGCGGGTTCGGTACTCGGGGGAAATCAGCCTGATAATCCGATTAATAAATTGGCTGGCATCCGCGCCACCCCGTAATCCCGATCGTTGTTCCCACTTTAATTGGCTATTTCCATCGGCGTCCCGACGCATTCGCCTACTGGATACAGGGCGCCCAAATTTTTCACGTATCACCAGAGTAACGCGTAAGTTTCGAGCACGATTGTTGGGCGACACGGTTAACCGGTAAGAGGACCACTGGGACCAGTTGGACCATAATGGTACCAGGGTGGTGTAGCGGAATAAGAAAAAATATAAAAATGGTGGGCGTATCGCGGACGCGAGGATGTGTCCAGTACCTACTCAGATGGAGGTGAGGGTATCACGTGGGCGATACTCGCATACAAATTGCATCGTGATCTCGTTTACGTGAATCTCGTAGGGATTGACCGTTTCTTTCTTTTGATCTTGTTCATCCTCCTCAGCCTCTTTTATCTCCTCGTTCTACTTTGACTCGATATTCTCTTTTACTCCTCTCACAATCAGTCCCTCTCGCGCAGCACAGCTCTTACAGTCCATCGGCTTAGCTTCACAAGTTGACTTTCTTAAGCTTTACCCACACCACTATCGACTATCGAGCAGATGAAGCGTGGACTCGCCAAGAGGTCACCTCCGAACTTCTTCGGGTTGAACCTTCGAGGAAGACGTTCAGGAGTTATAGAAGGTGCACCGGGAGTAACGTATCTGGGGATACTGAGAGAAGCCCTTGCGAGGGTTGACCCAACGCTAATCGGCTTAAGCCTCGTTCACAATTCGAGTAAGCGGCAAGCGGGCGCGAGTAAGTCGAATTTATGAACGCCGTTTCGAGCTCTCTTTGAACCAGGATAATCTTAACGGATGTAAACACTGCCGCCCGAAATCCGCTCGTTTTCCTCGCTTCATCTTTTTCTTTTTACTACACCTTTTCTCTGCTTAATTTCTTCCTCTCTCTCACTCCCTACGACTGTTTCTTTTTCTCTCTTCGTTTCACTGACTCTACCTCAGCGTGTTCACTTGCTCCTTGAGTGCCGTCACGGTCGCTGATCTTTGGTCTGAGCGAGCGAGCAAAAAGTGCATCCTGTGAACCCAAGAAGACAAAAGTGCTGAGAAAAAAAAAGGAAAACCTCGTAGCCAACTGTCAATATCTATATCTATAAAGTTTTCAGGTTGAGGTAGGCAAATTGGCATGAAGGTTGGTAGACGCACGAGTGGCACTTCTGAAGGTTTTTCTTCTTTTTTTTTTTCACGAGATGAGTAGATACAGCTTAATACGATCGTAATTAGCCTCTTTTCAGCAAGCACAGCTCACGCGACAGATACACACGTCTGCACGACCAAGTATGCAAAAGCATCGCGCTTCAGCTGCAACCACATTCGCATTCCGTGTTTTCGCGACGTCGAATACCCTGAAGAGTCTAAATATGAAGAATATATATATATATATATACGCTATAATTCTCCTCTTCAAGTGTCTCTTTCACTCTTCCACTTATTTATTCTTGTTTACCCACTCTTTCTCACTTAATACTATTTTGCCGTACTTTCTTCCTTTTTTCATTTTTCCCTACCTCTCGACCACAACTTCCAAGCTATCAACGTTTTATTAACGAGAACTAAGGCAACTCTTGCCGGTCGTTAATTCTTTACCACAGCGCTAATTTGACATTTGACAATGGCAGGATGACGATCAGATTCAGTCTCTCGGAGACTCCATATATCCCAAGACAAGAAGGCAGCTAAAGTGCAAAGTGGAAAATGCAAAATGGCCGTGATTTACGATCGCCACTCGCGCCCTTCTCTTTTCCGCCATGGCTGTTTATATTAGCCAGCATCGAGGAAGGCGAAGTCTTCTCCGTCTCGATCTTCTGCAGCACGAGGAAGCCCACACGGTATTTCACAGTCTGGAATACCAACCCGCTCCTTAAGACCCTGGTTGTCACTTCGCGGAATTTTCTCGTTTGCACGCGAAGCGAGAAAACTGTCTGCGCGAGTCGGGACGACAGGAGGAAAAATGAGAGGAGAAAAAAAAGGTTATACAGAAGAGACGAGTTAAGAACCAGCCAGACGGCCAAGGAAGTCGAGACAGATTGGGCAATGGCGAATCCCGTCGCAAACAAGGAACGGACTGTTCGGAATTGAGAACCGTTTCAGCCTTTTGATTTGTTTGGTGGATTACGCCATAACTGACGTTAGCTACTATATAACCACCATAACCACCGTAGCCAGCATAGCCACCATAGCCACCATAGCTGTCATATACCTGACGGCGATGAAGTCCGGTTAAACCCATCGGCGCCATTCGCCTTAAGCTCACATCAGTCGATGCAGACGCGAAAGTCTATGATACTGTGGACGATACTTTATTTCGAATTAAAGAAACGAGAGTGGAATGGGCATTCGGATGGGTCGATGATATTTCCCAGGGTTTATCTCCTCTGGTTCTTGGTAATTCATCACACCCTGTACGGTGGGTGGACGGAACAAGGTGATGCTGCTGGACTAATTTCATTGATACTACGGCAGACCAATCAGGCGACCTCTTTTTCTCTCTCCCTCTCTCTCGCTTATTTGGACTCCTTCTCTCGGCGGAGCCCTTCTACCCACGTTTTCTCGTACGCTTCCGTTTGATGCTTTTCTTTCTTTTTTCATGTGCGAGGCAGACGACTAGCGGGAGCGAGAGAGAAAGAGAGTCTGTCTTAATGACTGAAAGGTGCTGCGGGTTTACGTATGGACCAAGTCTCGGCAGACTTGTATGCTCTGCGGTGCATGGAATTAGGATAAGACTGGAATGTAACTGCCCGTCGTTGTAGGAGGCCTCTTACGCACTCTCTTGTGGAGTGACTATAGAGAATGCACGCGTGCTTGATAAAGCGGGAGACAGAGAACGTGAAAGAGAGAGAGAGAGAGAGAGAGAGAGATACGTTCCCAACTTCCCGAAGAGTGAGTTAGAGCCGGATCGTCTAATAAAGTTAGACGGGGTCACGAGGTCATTATAGGGAGAATCTACAGTCTAGATTCTCAAATGTAGATTCGCTCTCCTCTCCCCTCTCGTTTCGTCTAATCTTTCCCATCTAAGACTCTCAACCTTCCACGTGAGATAGCTGACCTCCCACCTCTAATCCTCGAGAGTAAATCCGGTTTTTATCTCAATTTCTGGTAGTCACCGTTCTGGACGTTTGTACAGGGGCTACAGTCCTTGTGACTTCCTGTGCACTTCCCGTGCGCTCCCTGACTCCGTTATTCGCGTGACCCAGGTCGCGGGTCATCGACTTGAAAATTCATCCTGCCCCAGATATTCCTGATAGAAGATGGCACTCCCACGGGAATGACCCGATGTCACGATGCTGCCCATGTACCTTTTTCTTCTTCTTCTATCACTAACGTCTTGCCTGGTGCATGCCGTGTGTTTCAGCGTGTGACTGCCATCCTATCGGTGCATCCGGGAAGACTTGCAACCAGAGCACAGGACAGTGTCCCTGCAAGGACGGCGTCACGGGTACTACCTGTAACAGATGCGCACGAGGATACCAGCAGAGCAGATCTCACATTGCACCCTGCATCAGTAAGTACCACGAGCCGGTTATAGCCGAGGACTGTAGCGGAGCTTATTATAGCTGGTTAGCTCGTATAGAGAAATCAAATCGATTGATTGACGAGACTGAGCGATGATGGAGTCGGATCAAGATGCGAGGAAGTCGAGCAACCAAATGATGGGAGCCGATCGATACTCCTTATAAGGAGGAGGTCTTGATCGATCGATCGATCGGTAGCAACACGCGGATTGGCCTGGTGAAAGATTACACCGAGATCGAGTCGTCCAATTAGCAGAAATTTACGGAAATGAGACCTCGTTTGCCCTGTCCTGCTCCGTGATTCGCGGTCCAGTCGGTTTTGCTTCTTTTTACGTTTTATTCAACTTTTGTTACTTTCTTCGCGTCGTCTCTCGACCTCATCTCTTTCTCTTCATCTTACCGTCTCTTCGCGAAGACTTCTTCCTCTGAAAGTTTTTTCTTCACGCTTTTCCATGGACCAATCCTTACGTCTCCGCTTTCTTCTTTTTTTGTTTCCAGAGATTCCAAAGGTCGTGCAAACTCAGGGAACTGCCGGCGAGGACAGCGGGGAGCACGACGAGGAGGACGAGGAGCGTTACGACGGCAGAGCTGGTGAGTTAATTTTCGTGGTTATTATTATTATCATCGTCGGAGGGATGCTGCAACGAGACGAACCAATTTGAGAAAGTACAGAGAAATTGTGTATTAAAGGAGATCCCGTCTTCCTTCTGGCACGTCTCTACGTTCTCTTTATTTATATTTTGATGTCGCGATCCCGCACGTTCACGACATCGCACTCGCGTGCGTACCAGCGTGTGTGATTATGTTGCTATACTAACCCCCCCCGAAGCAGATCGAATTGACGGCTGCTTTGCGTTTTGGTTCGCGAGCCGCGAAATCGAAGCGACGTTCGATTATTCACGCCCGAGATATGTTGCCTTTCGAAAAGCCCGGATCCGGTGCGCCACGTGGCACGTCGGAATTTAAGCGCGATATTAATTTAGCAAAAGGGCTGGCTCCGGGGCCAAGGGCTGATTTCACTACCCAAGAGCGTCGGTGTACAAGCACTAGGCAGTGGTAGTGGGATAGATGGGGTGGCCGTAGTAAAAGGGGGGTCGTCGGAGGTGGAAGGACGTCTGGCCGCTTCGCTGCAGCCTCTCAACCTCCCCTAATGGCTTAATTAAACTACCCTCGCGCGGCTTACGTTTACGCTCACGCTTAGCCATATCTACTCTCTCATAGATACTACCCCAAATCCGCGGTTGCGACAGGGAACAGTCCTGCCGTCCTTTTCGCTTCGATATATCTTTCACATGCCGCGTTATACCCTGCTCCTGGGCATATCGAATAGATTCATCCGGTACAGCGAAGTCCTTACACTTCCCAGCACAGCCCATAGACACGAGGTAAACCAAAAAAAAATATATATATATATATGGAGTAAATATGCGTATTGCGTATCGTATTGGAACCTTCACGATCGCATCTATATGTTAATGCGGTACGCGCGGAAACCGTACGCGTAACTCCAGCCTCCCACGCAGAAAACGCACTGGCAGCCGCAGCACGCCGAGTCTCGTATACAGCCTCTTATTCTCGTTCCCAGCTACCTCCTGTACTCTTGTAGTCTTGTACACGGTGCTTGTAGTCTCGGTGGTAAGATGGCAAGAAACGGGCCCGACAGACCGGTGGGCCCCTTATCTCAGGCTGCCTACGCCTTGGGACTCACTCGAATCGGTCCCAAGCGTTGGGGCCATTACTCGCGATTACTTCCTCGGTCTTTTTCGCCGGGGCGAGAATTATGCCGCTCCTCTTCATCGCGTCAGAATGCTATTTCGGGTGCCTTGCGAAATCCCCCCCCCGGCCTCCATCCCCCTCTCCCACTCTACTTTTCACAGCACTTTATACGAGTCCGTGTATACGCGACTCTTAAAGGCCGCCTGCCCCCCCGAGTCTGTATTGGTAGACTGCTATTAAAATAAATCCGGCTTGGGCTATCGGACGCGAAATAATAATAACAAGGGCTGCCCGCGCGCACCCTTTCCTCGCGCAAGTAAGCAACGAGGCAAGCAACCAGCCAGGCAACCAAGCAATACGGAGGCGACTGTGAGCGAGGCGAACTTCAAAAAAGGGGCGGAAAGGAAGAGGGAGTCGTTGCCATCGCTTTTAGTAGTCGTCCGTGCATGGGTTTGTGTACGCGTCCATTTTCTCTTGGTGTACCTTCCGCACGCTGATACAAATACCTTCGACGTATATACCTGTGTATGTATATATATATATATATATATATATATATATATATATATAGGTGCGTATTGTGTGCCGCAATTGCGCGTATGTCAGTGCGTACGTGCGTGCCTGCCTGCTTGCCTGCTCTTGCCTACGCGACCGTACACTCGGCTAAACTCCTGACGAGCTACGAGCTCGTCGAGGGTCTTTCCGTTTCGGGAAACATAGAGCCCCGGCCACTGTTTGCACACTGCATCGATTCGTTTTCACGGACCCTTAAAGCCGCACTTCGTCAAAGCGTCGACGACGACGTCCCGACGTCCAAAGTCAGCCTCGACGGACTCCCTCGTCTCGGGGAAAGCCAACCTCGGGCCGTGGCGAAATTCAGTAGCGCCCACACGGAGGGGCGACAGGACCCTGTCTTCGGACGTAGACTTTGACTTTGATCACCTCACGAAGCCGAACCAGACTTGAGGTTGTCGGGACGTGACCAGTATAGGAGACAGTCTCGTCGATGCCAACGAGACAATCATCCCGTATCGGGCGTCAATCAGACCCCTAATTGCACTCGTCGTATAGAGACCAGGCAAGATCAGAAATGAGCACTGCAGGAACTCTGTGCCCAGTGCAGCCTCCCTCTACGTTCCAGTTCATCTGGTATCGGAGGAAGCCCCGGAGAGTCTTCCCTTCGGATAAAGGAGACGTAAATCACTTGAAATGCGGGGTCGACGAGTAGACACCCACGGAATCCTTTGGGACGGCGATAACGATAAGGATAACGGTTAGGCTTAACACTAAAGGATTTAGCATCCACGAAGATGCTTATTAGGGTCTTCTCTTCTTAGCGTTACGGTCCTTCCAATTCATTTATCATTCCGCGCGCCTTGTACGCCACTCGCCTAATCGCATCCCAACTGCCAAAGTAATTGGCGTTTGGTTCGTGGATTTATCTGTTAGGCAAATTTTTCGCCGACCGTACGCGCACTGCGCGTTTCTCATCGTAAAGATTCTTTTTTTAGCTTTCCATCGGCAGGGCTCTTTCATCCTCCGTCTGCTCCTGCTTCTTCGTCCTGGTATATCCGATCCGATAAACTATCCCTGAAAGTAGTCGAACGCGCTGCGCGCGCTACGAGCACAGTGCAGCGCATCCCACGTAGCCTCAGATATATACTTCCGTTTAAGTGGAGCTTACGGCAAAGCCGGTTTCACGAAGTACGCGAAAAGGAGGCACTATGCGAAGGAGCCAGTTGACTTTTAACGGCATCCGGCATACGATATTTCAGGCGTCTCAGTCGGTTCGTCAAAAGGTTTTGGCAGCTGAACCCAGGTAGCGAAAAATTTGTTAAAAATTAATTTCAGCGTGTATTTATTATTTTTTTTTATTTAACCCTTCGTTACTCCCTTCTCTTTGCCTGAATTCCCTGTCGAGTCGTTGCGACCGCTACAATTTCAGGATGGTACCCGACCGGGCTGCGTTATCCGGGATAATTGAATTTTTGATACGGCCCCTCGACCCGGTTAGTCTCGCTCGTTATTATCCTCGATGCACCATCTCTTCGGCAAGGCCCCCAGAGCCAAAAGTCAATTACCTGCTCGGCCCGGCTAATTTGAATCAAGACTAATCGATCCGCCCCTCGTTCCCCGACTCACCTATCCGCCCTCCTACGGATTACCAAAACTTCGCCGAAACTTTCCTTATTATCTCAAGGAGAAAATATCCTTCCTTGCGAATCATTCTAGCTAAGTGCACGTGACGCTTCGTAGCTCGTAGCTAGAACGAGCGAGAATAAAAGCAAACTGTCGATAATTCGAAACACTCGTCAAGGACCTAGGAACGGGTGGGCAAATTAATACTGGATATACCGAAAGTTCGTCGATCTTTTGCAATTAGTTTTCAGCCGGCAACTTGCGCGTTCGCCAGTTGCATATTGGACTTTTATCAGGACAGTGGCGCCACTCGGTTTTATTACGAGAACTAAAATAAATCGTCGTACATCGTTATTCGTCCAGCAAGATCTTTTGATCCGTATCGATAAAGCTTTAGGATTATCGTGCATCATCAGATTTCGTTAATTAGTATTTCTCGATTAATTATATATAATTCCGAAAATGAGCCATATTCTCATTTTAACATTATATAGCTATGCCATAGTAGGGTGGGTTTCTATTATGTCTCTAGTGATTCTTCGAGTAGGCTGAGGGCTGGAACTTTTGGAGGGGTCGCGTCCACCCCGATTAAGATCAATATCATCCCCGAGACACTTAACGTTAAGGACACGGTATCCGCGCGTCCCTTTCACGGTGACGTAGTCTCAATCTGAGAATCCCTGCGCGCTCCAAGGGGACGCACCGGTCCTTAGGGTGTACAGGTACTTCGCAATAATGACTCTTTTCCCCAGGGATTCTCAAGCGAGTGAAAAACAACATGACAAAAACATATTTAGGACCCATTTGCGGTTGTGTTGAGAATCGCTTCGAGTGTAGGAGGCGTGCGCGCGCGCGCACTCACTTATTTTGGGTCTTCTTTCCGGTCACTTAAAAAGACCCGTGAGGCATGCCGGGCGCGTCGCAAGTCCCACTCTCTTTCTTATAATTAAGACGTTACTTTACGAGGGGGCCCCACTAGGAAGAGGACTCTCTCGTGCGGGGCCTTGCGGCGGCGATACGGGACCCCGGGGGGACTCTCGGAGCTCAGCTGAAAATACTCGCACGTCAGAGCGAGAACGAGATACGCGGCACATGGGACTTGGTAGATTTTATCAGGCCCTAATAAATGCCTGGGACCGATGGTAAACGCGGGACCCTACGTCTGCCTTGCCGAATCGCGTGCCGCGATAATAACTAATAGCCTATTCCAAGACGTGGAGGAGGGAGTGAGACAAGGACGAAGAGAGGACTATCCCAATGGCGAGGAACATTCTCGTGATCATTCTTCTGGGTCCCATAGAGGCAGGTTGAAGATTGGCAAAGGCCCTCTCGATAAATTCAAGTCAAAGGACTTTACTGTAGATTTACATAGAGATCCTTATTTCGCAGCTATTCGTCTCTCGCGAATCCCAAACATCCCTGGAACGCCTAAATCTCCCTTTAATCCCGCGGGATTCAGCGGCCACTTGGAATACACACAACAGTCGGCACAGTGTATCTCCCTGTCCTTCTTCGACCAAAAACTGTCACTTGGAAACTTCCCACAACCGACGATTCCACTTTCGTTTTTCCCTCTCTCATTCTCTCTCCCTCTTACTCTAGTCAGTTTCTCTCTTTTATTCCCTTTGGCTTCACTCGTCGTGAACGTTTTACCTAATTGGCGAGACGAGCTCCGCTGCTGTTCCAGAACTTGATACCGATTTGTTTCCTTGGCTCACTTACGAGAACGAGCATAT